TCACCACATGTGGTCCTCCCCCAGAGAAAGGCAATGTGTCTTATTCTCTTTTCCATTTCTAAAGTTAATTTACCTTATTTCCCTTAATTTCTATATATTCCCATCAGTAAGTCTATTCTGCATAAAAGGCACATTTGAACCTAAACTATATTTGGGTATCACTAGATCCCTTAATGAAAGTGCACTTATATATCCTTATGACCATACATCCCAAATTTCTTAAGGGTAAACCTTGAGACTTTGGCTATTAGCTATGAAAAATTTAAAACACCTAAGGCCAAAGCAATAAGAAAATCAAGATGCCTCACAGATATAAATAAAGATGAAACATAGTATAATATTTGTGTAAAGATTGTTTTTTTCTTTCTTATGTATTATTTAGCTGTTTTTGTTTATATTTAAAAATTATTCATTTTATTATTTGCTGAAATAAACCCTTAATGTACATGTGAACATCTCTTTGGGCTTTTTAAATAATCCATACCTACAGTTGTTTGTTTACAGAACATTTTCCTCTAAAAATCTCACAGTCTGGTCACAGTCACGGTCCTCCCGCTGTTCATCGATTTGCTCAAGCGGGCCCAGTAACGTCTCCATCATGAGACTTGTTGTTACTGTGTTTGGCATATCGAATACGTCACGGGGAGCTTGCCAGGCTCTGCCGTGCTGGCGAGATACTCTCGGTAGCTTGCTGGGCTCTCCGAGAGGGGCGGAGGAATCAAACTCGGGCCAGCCATATTGGCTTCAGTGCAAGGCAAACGCCCTACCACTAAGTTAACATTAAACAACTAGTACCAGGTCAAGTCTAAACTATATCAGGAAATCAAACTGTCTCTGAGTAATATTTATGCATCCTGGGCCCTTTCCCAAAGAACTTGATATGATTTCTTGATGAACAAGCTCTAAAACATTCAAATGCATCCAATTTAGAGGTCCTATAAAGCTCCAGGTCTCCCTAGCTAGCCCTAAATTTATCCATTCTCTTCTCCTCTTAGCTTTCTTTTATTTACAACTGCCAAAAAAAAAAAAAAAACAACAAAATGGATCATGACTACTGTCTGGAAGCATTTCCACTAAAGAAGTAACATATGAACATTTATTTAAAAGAAAAATAATCTAAAAATACTTTTGAAAATAACAATCACATTCAAAACAGTAAATTTGGGCAAAACCAACTGCTTTCACATAACATTCATTTGCAGGGAGTCTAGAGAAATTATTCATATATTTCACACATCCCTTCTTGTCAAGATACTCATAAAAGACTGGGAGAGGTGACTATCCCTCTGCATTTATTCAGAACAGTGGAGACATTCTGTGCAAAGAGCTGGGGTTGACCATTCACAGATGGGAAAGATAGTGGAGCTATAACAAGATCAGGGTTCAATCCCTGGCATCCCATCTGGTGCCTGGAGCAGCACCAGGAGTGACCCCTGAGTGATCCCAGGAGTAAGCCCTGAGCATCCCCAGGTATGTTCCCCACCAATCCCTTCCCCTAAAGCCAAAACGCTCCTTCCAGTGTAAGAGTCAAGAATACAGGTATCAGAAGCAATTAATTTTAATATATTTATTTAATGAGTTTGTAGGAAAAAATACAGAATGCCTTGTTAACATGAAATTCAACAGCAGTTAATTTCTAACATATGTATGCCCTGTGTCTTATTTGTAACAGTCTCAAAAATAATACCTTTATCTGAAAATCATTCTTGATACTGGACGTTCTGATTTACTTAATCTGAGAACCTATTTAATGTTCCTGTAAAGATGATTCATAAACATTTTGTCTCTTGATTGTTTTATCTTCAATTCAGACATCTCCTGAATATCAGACCATTAAAATCAATTGTTTGTTTCAACCCTCCAGGGTCTTAGAACACTTTAAATTCACCATAACAAAACAGAGGTCTAGCTATCTGCCACCAGCCACCTTTTCTCCAGGCCTATTCCTCCTGCAGTGGGTCAACCCACATACAGGGCTATTCTGCCATGGCTTGGGTGAGATCTCAAAGGCTCTATTTTTGTCTGAGTGTAGCAAATCAGAGGAACAACTGGTTTTATACTTCTGTAAATTTGAGACTAGATCATAAATTTAGGCTGTATAGTCAATTAGGAAATGTGCTCCCAAGTATTTCTGCACAGTTTGTCTGCGCCAGGGATGTCTCATCTCTGGAACCAGGAACCTCTTGCCACATTTGTCAACCAATGAATGACGATGGCTCCAAAAGAAGGGCAAAGGTGGCAACATTCTTTGCATTTATAAACCCAGTTCAACCCAGGACTTTCACTTTTACCCCCAGCACAATTTATAATTTATAGTGGGAAATACTAACTTGTGAGGGGGGAGGGGAACTTCCCCCTCTATAATTGCCAGCCAGATTACTAAATGAGATAGTTGTCTTTTCACTTTTAGAGTAACAATATCTAGCTTTCCATATAATCCTTTTTTTATAGTAATCCTTTTCAAACCAGAAAAAGGAGTTTCATAAAATCACTGGAGAATGAACAATGTGTAAATCTTTATAATATCCAAATCACCACTTCAGAGTTGGGAACTCTGTGATTTTCTGCCAATTTTTTTGTTTGGTACACATGATAAATGCTGAGGTCATGCCGGGTGTCTCTTATCAAATATTGAGAAATCATAAACAAGATAATCAGAGAAATTTAGATATGACTAATTTTTGTGACTGAAAAGTCGGTGCAGATAATGTTTTCTTTTAAGTTTCCACCAGCTGTTACCTTCTGAAATACTCCTCAAAGAAGTGGTTATTCTATAGGGAATTAGTGAATACAGGATAGAGATGCCGGGGAAGAATAAGCAAAGCAAAAATGATTCTTTGGTTTATCATTGTCAGAAACTTAAGGTCCCAGGTTTAGCCCTCAGCAGAGCCAAATTGGTTTTCACCTTGGTTGTCCCAACTTCTCATCAAACCTGACAACAATGACATATACAAATGTAAAAGTGATCAAGTCAAAAATAATGCAAGTTACCACAATATATATAACATGTGAATATATATTCATGAGAATATATATGTATGTGTGTGTGCTTTCTGGTATGTTTCGCAAAATAAAGATCTGTATAACAAAATTCAAAAACATAGCAGAAATCAATTGTACATATTGCAATTAATATTGTTCTGTGGAACAAAAAGAGAAAATTTCTTGTGGATATTTGAAAATGATTTTGCTTGACAAAATAAAAAGGCTCATAGTAAACATTCGATCTCAATGAATCCCCTACAGTATTGATAATTTATCCAGATGCAGGACATTTATTTTTTCTTAACTTGCAGATTTTGAGAAACTATCAAATTTGAATAACTGATCACTGCTTCCCTTTTTGCACAATTCATTGTCGAAAGTTTCCAAGCCTTTCCAAGAATAGAGAGAGCTTATTTTCCAAATATGCAATGCCCAATATCTCTTAACCTCTCTAAGAACTTCTGTCTTATAACTACTTATACAAGATAATCAAGCCCACGTTCTGAAAGTTCAAAGCCAAGTATTTAACTCCGCAAAATATAAAGGGGGCAATGTCACAGGTGTTCAGTCCAAAGAGGGGTATGTAAAAACTTTTCTCCTAAAGTCTCTTAATTTGTCATTACTATTTATATGTTGGTGGAATTTCCACCCATTTCTCATAACGATTTTCCCACACTCAGTTTTCTTCCCACTGATGAATTTACTAACGCTGAATCCAAATATTTCACTCTATCCTGTCATCTTCCTGACACTCCTGGGGTAGCTACTTTCCTAAAAAGCTGTGCCTTTTCAAAGATGACTGAAATGCTTTCCTCCTCATTCGTATCAATTAACCCCTTCTAATTTTCTTTTGAATACTGTACTTCATGAGGCTCTGGCTATCTGAAACACTGTACAGGACTGCAATCAGTTATTCAAGATCATTTCTCCTGCACTGGTCACTAGGAGAAAACTACATGCCCTGGAGTAGAACTATTCTGGGAGAACAAAACAACAACAACAACAACAAAATGTATCTAAATCAGCTTGGGACCAAAGTACAACTCTGGAGACCGGGTGGGGGCTGGGGGGACCAAGATGCTTTTTTTATGTGCAAATGTCTTAGATATCTGATTGGGATATTGAAAGAACAAGTTAGCAAGGAGCCTGTTCTTGATCTCCAGAACAGTTTTTTTTATTTAAAGGGTTTGTCATCATGAGCAAACGCTTATTATTGTGTGTGTGTGTGTGTGTGTGTGTGTGTGTGCGTGTTTACCAGAAATGCGTGCCCCCCTACCCCTGCTAGTGAATATTGTACGCTAGGTGTCTAGCTTGGGTTCAGGGCTCTATTTAGCCTACCAAGGCACAAACCTGTTATAAACTCCGGGGCACTTGCCAGGATTCCCCCCCCCCCCGCAACTCTTAGTAAAGAGAGTACCTCGAAAGCAATGTGCGTTGCAAACCACGCAGATTTTAGCTCCCACTCCCGCCTGCACAGTTTGGCACCCGCGGCTTTGGAGGTATCCCCCGCCGTCCAAAACTCACACGGAATCGCGGCCACCGCGACGCACACTCCCACCAGCGCCCAGCTACCAGTCTCGCTCAAGCCTCGGTGCTCAGCACCGAGCGCCCCCCGAAAGCCCCCCGCAGAGCGAATTCCGGGTGCCACTGGATTCCCAGCCCCGGACGCCCCGGCGAACACACGCCCACTCCCTCCCCTGCAAAGTGCCCCCAAAACGCGTCACCCACTTGACTCCATCCACTCACACCCGTGTCCCTATGACTTTTTTTTTCTTTCCCTACTCCCAGGACTCGGTTCCCTACGCATCTGTTTTCCCCCACCCAGCTGCCAGGCGTTAGGTGTGTGCCCCCCACTCCCCACCCCGAGGCATCGGTCCCGGCGCTCCCTGCATTCAACGGGGCGCTTCTTACTGCTCCGGGTGCTAGCTAGGTCGGTGGGCTCGGGGCGCCTGCTCCCTGGCCTCCTGCCGCCCCGTCGCGACCCCCCAACCCCACCCCCGGGCGCCCCCTCTTACCTGCGGAGAGCGCGGCGGCGGCGGCGAGCAGCAGGAACGCCTGGCAGAGCGCGGCGCCCAGCGCCCGGGTCATGGCCAACCCGCGGCCACGCCGGGGCTCCGAGGCCCCAGAGCGGAGCGCGGCGGCCGGGGCAGCGCTGGGCGGCTTCGAAGTTCGCGGGACGCCGGAGGGAGCCCCGACAGCCTTCTGCCAGCGTGCGCTTGGCTCTAATCCCGGCGGGCGCCCCCCTCGCCTCCCTCCCCCATGGCACGTCCCCCGCGGCGGGCGGCGCGCGGCCCTGCAGCCACCGGCCCCCGGCAGCCCCGGCGGCGCGGGGGGGGGGGGGCGTGCCGGGTGTCGGGGTGCGGGGGGAGACCCCGCCCCTGCCGCGCCTCCACCCTCCGCGCTCTCCCGCCCGGGCTCGGGCTGAGCTGAGCTGCCCCTCGGGCTAGGAGCACGGGTGCTCCGAGTGCCAGGGGGATCGCCCAGAGCTGCGAAGGAGGGTGGCAGAAAAAGGAGGCGAGGTGGCACCGAGACCCCCCCCCCCCCGCCGCCCCGCACTGTGCACTGTGGGAGGGGAGCTGGCAGGGGGGTTGGGGGGGATTGGAAACCCGGCTAAGAAGACTTCAGGGAAACTTCAGCCCCAGTCCCAGTTCCTTTTTCAGCAGTCCGCTCTTTTGACTGCAAAGGAAGACCCACGCGTCCAGACTCTTCAGACTGGCTGCTTGGAGTCCAGTCCCCGAGGGTTTGCTAAATAGACTGAGCTCTGCGTCACCCCGGAATATTCCTGCCGGGCTGGTCCCCACTACCCAGTACGTACTGCCTGGAACGCTCGTCTGCGGAAGGGCGCCCTCTCTGGCCAGCCTCGAAGTAACCCCTAGACCCCTTGGGCTAGCTAGATTTTTTTTTTTTTTTTTGGCTTAACTATCTTTCCAATGACCCTGTGAATGGAGACCAAATCTGGACATCCTGTGCCAGGGGGTATAGTTATTTGCAATGCACAATCCAGGTTTGTTGGTAGAAGAATGGAGGATATCTTGGAAGTGAACAATTTCAGGAATGGAAGAACTCGGGCGGAAGGGGCGGGTGCTACACACGTTATAAGAAACTAAAGAAATACTTAAGGAGATGTATTAGAAACGTGTCTGAGTACTGTTTAAATTCCTGGAGATGTATTTTTAAATGAATGTGTTTCTTATGCGGATTGTGATTAAAATATTAATAAGTGTAGCTACTAGAAATTAACATGAATTCAACGCACTCTTGTAACTTGTGCATGAAAGTAAATGGGTTATTTAACCTGAACCACCACACACAAAGCCAATACAAATATTTTGTTTTGCTGTTGCTGTTTATTTGGTTTGGGCGACGTGTAAGGTAAGTGCCCACTGTACGACCTCTCAGACCCAATACTGGTGATGTTGCTACTGTTAGGCTGTTCTGGGGCTCTCTGAAAAAGTGATTGTCATCTAAATACAAGTTTCTTTGGTATTGTGAGTATTACTTCCTTCTTCACCCATTTCCTCTCTGTCACTGTCCTGTTGTTCATCGATTTGCTTGAGTGGGCACCAGTAACGTCTCCATTGTGAAACTTCTTTTTATTGTTTTTGGCATATCGAATATGTAAGGGGTAGCTTGCCAGGCTTTGCCATGCGGGTGGGATACTCTCAGTAGTTTGCTGGGCTCTCAGAGAGGGGAGGAGGAATCGAACCCGGATCCACCGCGTGCAAGGCAACCGCCCTACCCACTGTTGCTCCAACCTGTTTCCTCTCCAAATAATGCTATTGTTCTTTCTAAGGTCTCTGGGAGACTTATAGTGAACTAATGCATGGGTTTGACATTTCCTTTATAGAGTCACGGGTTTGGGGGTGGTATGTGTGTTTGCTGTGATGCATGAACCTGACACTGCTGGGGAGCTCACCTCCATCACCCTCACCTTGGATGAACCAAAATACTTCTAAGCATAAAAAATTATTATTCACATTTTATTCTGGATCTCAGCAAGCAGAATATGGAGATGTGGGACAAGTCTGAGTCCTTCCAAACACCCACAAAACAGATGCTTTTTAAAAGGGTGGGGGCACAGAAACTTTAGGACACAATATATTTTGGCTACTGTGGCTTGCTCATTATTGGGTAAGAACCCAACTTAGATTGTGATCTACTGTTGGATGCTGAGACTTGGAACTTAAAGGATGATATTAGTGTCCTCCGTGGACTGCTTCCTCAAAAGTCAATAGAACTTCTTATCTCCCTATTTTGTAGAATCAAAAGGGTAGTGACTGTGTAAGTACTATTAAGTCACAAGACATTTTTATACTCACATCAGGTACTTAGTTTCCTGTTTATTTTGTCTCTGAACACGGGAAGCAATATCCCTGATAATTGAAAAGCCTGTGTTTTATAAGAAAGTAAGGTTATTAGCCAACAAAATTTGTTATTGAATGACTTCAATATTCTAAAGAGAGAAATGCTTCCTCTTAATCTAATGGTGCATTGTCAATATGGTATCCACTAGTCACATGTGGATTCTGAGCATTTGAAATGTATCTAGTCTAAATGGGTGTGTGCTGTAAATATAAATCAAGGGCTAGATTTTCAAGTCTTGGTGCATAATAAGAAATTAAAATATATTCCTTATAATTTTATTTTGTTTATATGTTGAAGTGTTATTTTTAACATTTTGAGCTAAAGTATATTGCTAAAGTTGCGTCAAGCTTCTTTTTATTTAAATATTACTATGAGAAAGTCTTAATTTTATTTTTCACTCTCAGCATATCCCATTAGAGTGTGCTGATCTAATGAATTTTCTTCCAATGGCAAAGGTCATTCCCTTTGTCTTATGTGCAGAGAAAACAAAGTTAGAAGGATTGTTAGATGCCTTGACAGACAATCAACATGTCTAGCCAGCAAATGAATTAGTATCGTTTGCATTCTCAGTACAAAGTTCTGTGACACAACAGTAACTACAGAAAAAAATGTCAAAAGCTAATTTATAGGAGTACTTTAAACTACATCCCCACATAGTTCTCTCTGCCTTCTAATACACGTGTCTTTTGCCTGCATCAATATTAGGAATTTTTTCCCAGAAAAAAAGTGCCTTTTATTTACATATTCTTTTTATTTGCTTATCCATGTTTTGGCAAAATTATAGAATGTCAGAGGTTTAACTTCACTCTTGTGAATATAATACTGTCACCACCAAAGTTCCAGTGCAATTTCACCAGCAAACATACCCCTGTACTCTTTCTTTCTTTTAAACTCTCCGTCCTTCTGGAGTCACCATTATTTTCCACGTCTTGCAATTAATTTTGTTGTTTCTGGTCAGTTGATTTGCTTTAGTTATTTACATTCCACATATTTGTGAAATTATCCTTCAGTGGTCTTTCATTTCTTATTTCTTAGTATATTCACTTTAAGGTCAAAATCGTCTCTAAAGCCATGGTTTCATCTTTAATGATAAGGGAGAGTTGCATTAAGTATATATGCAAGAGATTTTTTGTCCAGTTCTCTGTCAATGGACATTTAGATTGATTCCATGTTTTAACTATAGTGAGTACTTCCATTATGAATATAGGGGTACAAATACCTGTTTGAATTAATGTTTTTGTAGCCTTTAAATAAATGCCTACGAGGGGTATTGACAGATCATATGGAATCCCCCTTTGTTACAGTTCACTCTTAGTGGTACTCAAGACAATGAATACTTGGTACAGTGGCACTTGGGGTGCATCAGAACTAAATCCAGTAGCAACAGAAATCAATATTTTTCTCACTTGAGCCACATCTGAAGACCCTCCTTTTAATTTTTAAAATGAATTCCCATATAATATGAGACTGATACCCAAGGACAATAGACACAAGGGCCAGGAATATTGCTCCATAGTTGAAAGCCTGCCTCATGAGCTGTGGGAGAAGGCAGCTCGAATAGAGAAGGGATCACTAAGTCAATGATGGCTGGAGGGATCATTCAGGATGGGAGGTATGTGCAGAAAGTAGGTAAAGGACCAAACATGATAGCCTCTCAGTATCTATATTGCAAACCATAATGCCCAAAAGTAGAGAGAGAGTGTGTGGGGGAAATTGTCTGCAATAGAGGCAGGGGAAGGGTTGGGATGTGGGAGATACTGGGAACATTGGTGGTGGAAAATGTGCACTGGTGGAGGGATGGGTGTTCAATCACTGTATGACTGAAACTCAAACATAAAAGCTGTGTAACTGTGATTCAATAAAAATTAAAATTAAAGAGAAGAAAATGTATGCTGCGACTTTTAAAGAAATAAAATGTATAAACCATTAAAAATAAAAATAAAATAAAAAGAATTCCCATACCATTTTCTATGGGACCATCACCAATTTATATTCTCACCAATAGTATGCCAGAGTTTCTTTTTCTCCATATTCTTACCAATGTTGTTATTAATCTTCTTTGACATTGGCCCTTTCCCTGGTGTGATTTGTACTATCATGATTAACCCCTTGTTAGATGCATTATATGTGAAAATAGCTTCTCCCAGTCACTGTCTTTTTGTGTTTTGTGTTTTACATAGCTTATTTTGCTATGTAAAACCTTTTAATTTGATGAGGTGTCATTTGTTTAGTTTTGCTTTTGTTTCTCATGCTATTGGAGTTTAATCTTTCAATATAATCTAATGTTGTGGTCCTAAAATATATCACCTATGTTTGCTTCTATGTGTCTTATAGTTTGTATCTAATATCCAAGTCCTTAATCCATTTTGAGTTAATGGTGTTAAATTGTCATCTAGATTTATTTTTTGCATGTGTCAGTTTTGTTTTCCCAAAAACAGTAGTTGAAGAGGCTTTTCTTTCTTCATTGGAAGGTCTTGGCTACTTAATTGAATACTGTAAAAAATTTAAAGTAATAATTTGATCACTCTTAATATTTTAGATCCCAGAAGTTAGCAAAGTATAATCTTAGAGAATTGTCAATATTTCAGATATACATGCATTCTTAATGCACCTGTCATTAATGTCAACTTCATGCCAAAGAAGGAAAGACTATCATATTTATAATACCTTTCAATCTTTTACTTAAAAGAATATACACAGATGTGAGCAGATGCCTTCACACACACACACACATTTCTCTAGGGAAATTAGTCTTATTCAATATATTTTTAAGGGTTAAGGAAATAACTTAAAGGACTGAAGCACATGCTTGGTAAAGAATGGGAATCTGGATGTGACCTCTGACACCACATGATT